GGCTGGTGGGGGCAGGGAGCGGGGGAGGTCTTCGCCCGCGGATCTGACTGGGGTCTTAACTCCCCTCTGTTTTCTGCTTGCTTTTCAGGTCACGAATCAGGTAAGCAGCTTTTATTTGAGGTAACCTTCAGTCTCTCTGGAGCTTTTGGCCCATTTAATTTCGTTTTCCTGAGTAGTAAAGGCTCCTGCTTCTCCGGTGAGAGTAACCCCTTCTGCCCCCATGGGTGCCTGTGCTGAATCCTCGGATGTGGGACCTCCTGAAACCTCCGAGTACATCGTGTCATGTAAAGGTACTATATGAAAGAAAAAACAGGAAAGGAGAAGAGAATAGCTGGATATTAATGTAATGTAATCCCTGATACATTTCAAGGTGGGGTTTAATTCATTAATTAATTATTAAAGCATTATTGTATGTTTATATATAATGTGTGCGAGTTCTGGACCTGTACATGTTGTTTTGTGCACTTGTATGGATCTGCTTACATAACTGTGTTGCAGTTTTTTTCTTTTTTGGCTGACCATAAGCCACATTTTACCCTATTTGCACTGTGCTGCTTATTCATGACAATATCTGCATGACTTGTTGCTGGTTTGGTTAGTTCAGTGGAATCCAAATTAGAGAAAGGAAGCTTGTTCTAATCCACGGAACAATGTAGGTGCTAGAGAAGCTAGCTGAAAGGAAACCATACCCACTCCAACCCTGCGTCATGTTCTCAGTGATAATTTTGAGTTTCTTTAGCAAGTGTTAGAGGTCAGATGTTGATCATAGCAGGCCTGTTGATAATGTTGAAGATGGTGTTTAAGCCAAAAGACTCTGAAGCTTCCAGCAGTAAGATGACATTATTAAAACTATATTGTTGAAATAGTTTGGAAATGAGAAATTTCTGTGCGTGAATGGGTTTTTTTTGTTGTTGCTGCTGTAGTGTACCAACTGAATCTGCAGGAGAGTGAAGGGTTACTTGTTGCTGGGTCATTTTGCTTTTGGCTTTATAGTTTCCTAGGACAAATAATTTTACAATTTTTAAAGTATTGTTGCTGTAGAGCAATTTGAGAATTTTTTAATCCCAGTCCGGAGTTAAAGTTAACAATCTTTCCTGGGAGCTTTTCTCAAATGCATGCTGTAGTTTTCTCATGTTTTAGATTTTTTGTTTTTAATTTAGAAATTCAGAGACTAAATCCAATTTGGAAGAAAATAAGTGTGAATAAATTACTAGTAGAATTTCAAATTATCTAACTTCCTAGATGTTGAGATGAATTTATAAGGGAACAAATAAAGTCCTGTTAGCTGTAAAGTAGAAATTAAGGAGGAAAAAGTAGTGACTTTCCCAATACCTGAATTATCTTGTATCACTACATGTTTATATTGTATGGAGAAAATCCTAGAACAGTGTTAAATTAACAATTCTAGGTGTGTTCAAAACCTGTCTGACTTGCCCATTGGCTTTGCATTGATGATGGATGATATCTATCAATTGTGAAGAATCACAGCTTCGAGGAACTTTACATTGAGAATTTTCTTGCTAATATTTCTGTACAAAAAAGGCCACTTTAGACCACTTACACTTCCTCATTCACTATATTTTGCCAGTCTTAACTGAGCAGTGGTTGCTATTATCTACACTGAAACTGTGAGGTTGTATTTTTTTTTTTTAAAAGGAAAAAAATGGTCAGTGTTGAATATGAATGCATCTCTCATTATTAGTCATGGTTCTTTTAATCTCATCAGTATACTGATAAACTATAACAACAGGGCTGTTAGTCACCAGTTACTCATATCTTGCTTAAAACAGCAATAATAGTAATTTGAGATTCAAATGAAGTTGCAACCACATTTTTAAAAAATCCTGTTGAGTTAATTGCAAGGACATCCTTTTTTTTTTTGTGGTACTCTGTGCTGTGCTCTGTAAAATATTCTAGCATTCTTCAGGATTAAAAAAACAATGGTGTGCCCCAAATAGCTGTAATATATGTGTCCAGTGGTCATTTAATGCATGTATCTCTTTACACAGACATCTGTCCATGTGTTTCTTGGTGGTTTGTGTTTGTGGTTTTTTTTTTTTCTGTGTGTGGGGTTTTTGTGTTTTGTTGTGGTTGTTTTTTTAGGGTTTTGTTTTGTTTTTTTTTTTTTTTTAAATTGTATTCTGTTTACCTTACTTGAGTGTTAGACTATCCTTGGAACATACTGCTTCTGTTAGTATTAATGTTATTGCTAGGTGTGACAGTGAACTCTTAAAACTCACAAAAATTCCAGTCACCTGTAAGATGGATGGATTCTTAAGTATTAGGTTGTAGTCAGAACTGTAATTTTGATTTAACAAATGCTTAGCCTGTTTTGATTATTTTACCAATAATTTTATTCCCTTTTTAATAGTAACTAGAAATGAAACGCACTAAATGCAGGTTCATTTGCTTTTAATATGTTCTTACCATTATGCTCTCCAGTTTTGAAATGTAAGTTGCAAATTTGAGACTCTCTCAATCTTTTGTGACAATAATGGAGAAGAATTGAATTTCTCAATTGCAGGGTATGTGAGATCTTTCCAAAATATCTTGAAAGTTTTTATCGATCTGAAAGCATTTATACGATAATACAAGTCTAGGAGTTTCTAAATCCTTAGTGTATATATGTGCGTATGTGTTAGAATTATTTAAAGGTTCAGAAACTAGCTGGTGGGGATAAACAGGAATATTCTTTCTTAGGTTTACAGTGACTCACTCGGAATACCACAGCCAGATAACTGTAGTGATCTTTTTAAGAGAGGAGTCAGCATAGTTAAAGGTACCATACATGGTGCTAATGTAATTGTCATAAAACTTTTATTTTTCCCTCTCCATTTGTGCTGTCTGATAGAATGAATTGTTAGTCCACCTCTGATACAGAAAGAGTTGATGATGCAGCATTTACAAAGCTCCACTTTGTGTACAGTGATGACAGGGGATGGTTTCTTCTCTTTGACCTTCAGCTAGGGGGGGCCTGACATGACCAGTGCTACTATTCTTCCTGAATCTCTTATGAGTCTTTCCCTGCTAATGGGCGAGAGGAAGAAAGAAAATAGGATTTATCTGCCCACTGTTTACCAGATGGTGTTTGGCTGTGTATCATGTTCTCCATTTATTTCTTCTACTACCAAAAAAAAAAAAAAAAGTCAGACTACGTACACATTTTTAGAGTGAAAAGATCAGACACAAGCTGATTGTTCTTCATGATGATATTGCTTCAGTCTGGCTTGCAACCCATGATTGATTCCCTAGCAAGCATGGATAAACAAACAAGTAGTATTGGTGGGTATCTTTCTTGATCTCCCATGATCTGTCTTACATTTCTTCATCTAACATGTTCTAAGGAATATCCTTACTTCCTAGATAAGGTACCATGTCAACTCATGCCTTTGTTATATCCAGATAAAGATAGAGAAATTGACTGATTACGAAGCTCAAGCACTGGCTTCAGGTAGTTCAGAGTTAAAACTATTGAGAGTTGGCTGTGGCTTGGGTTTCTCTTGCTACATAGTTACCTTGCTGGTTCTTCCTTGCCTTCCAGCATTATTTTCAGGCCTTTGATTTTTTTTTTTTTTTTTTTTTTTTTTTTTTTTTTTAAAACATTTAGGGTAGTTGAAAACACCATAAATTTTTTTTTTTTTTTTTTTTTTTTTTTTTACTTTTAAAGCCATTAAGGTACTGAGAGACAGCTACATAAAGAAATTAATTTTAGTCCATGGACAGCCTTGACAGCTGTGGCTTTAAAGTCACAGGGGCAATAAAGATCACAAAACAAATGGCAGAAACTGGATACAGCTAGTCTTCACCCAGCTATGGAACAGATTTCCTATGGATATCAGGCAAATACAGAGATTAAGTATCTCAAGCAAACAAACTTTACTTTTCCTAAAAGGTCTTTCCATTTTATGAGCTCTGCAACACTACCGCAGAAGCTTACTCAAAAGAAAGCCTTACTGATCAAAGTCATTGAAAAGGCAGTGCCTGTGATTCCTGAAGTGTGTTGGATGGTGGTACTTGTATATGAGCTACTGTGCTGGAGTGAAAGCCTGTTGGATGTGAAGAAACAGAGTTGTCCTTCTGAAAATGCTTAGCTAAGCTTGCTTGTTTTTTGGTTCAGGGCCGGGGGTGTGGAGTTTAACTCTTCTGTTGTAAGCAAAGTGGAAATAGCAGAGATAGTGTGAATGCTTGGAAAACAGCCTCTTATGACTGTAGCCTCAGAAAGTGGAAGACCAGGACTCTGTCTTTCTGTAAAGAGAATACCCTAGAAAACCTTCCACAGAGCTAACAAAGGGGAAGTGCTGAGGCTGTGGCACAGCACAGCAAAGAATAAGCACAAAAACAAATATGAAGGGATTGTAGAAGTCTACTGTGAGATCACTTGTTGAATGGCTGCTTCTAGTTTAAAATCTATATAGACTTCTGATTAAATTGAATAGGTAGATACGTTGCAAAGGGAAAATAGTAACTTGTTTTGGGGTTTAGAGCGTTATTCATATGAATGGTTGAAAGATTGAATTAGATCTGTCTTTGTAGTTCCTCAGTAATTGAAAGCTAAGAAAACCGTATATTTCATTCCTCAATTTCTACTTACCACTCCTGGGCCTTTTATTGTGCTCTTTTTTGCTCAGTTTCTTATCTCTGTTTCAATGACATAAACTAAAAATTGTAATAAGGAAACCCTTACTGTCTCGAATGCAACTGAAAAGGATAAGAATTTTATGGCTGTAAGATTTCTTACATTTTTGATGAAGTTGAAAGTGTTCTCTTTTTTTCCTCCTTCATTGCAAGTTTTGAAAAAAAAAAATTAAATAAAATTGTGATGATAAATGGGCTGTATTCCTTGAATTTTATTATGAAGTTCTGAAATACAGTGCTTGAGGATATTAAGTAATTTGTAATAAGTCTTGAATTTCTCAAGTAAGTTTATTATAATCATTATTATAATCAAATCTCTTGTTTGAGCAAGACCATATTGTGGCCAATCTTAAATGAGGAGTAGTAAGGAAAAGAGAATAATGCACCTCCTGTAAGTTACAGCCATGTGTTTTCTCCTGGTATGCCTTTTGACCTGCTGTATAGAACTAAAGTTTCTACAGCTGCTGCCATCTTGTCACGTCAGTCATTTGGATTAATGATCTGAAAGACACCTCTAAAATGTATTGAAAAATGATCCCTTAATTTTAATTCAATAAATGTCATAAGGAAAGAATTAAGAAATATATCCTTGTAATGCCCAGACAATAAAATATTGTTTGGGTGGTTCCCTGATTTTTATAAAGGAATTTCACTTTCAAAACAAACAGCTTTTTGTAATATGCCTCTACAGATTATGTATAAAGAATTGAAAGCAAAATGTTGTGCTATCTATATTTGTAATATAGATTAGCTTAATAAGAATTGGATACTTAAAGGGCTGAATGCAACTGTATTTGTGGATATATATGAATAATAATATAAGGTTTTTTTGTGTTCTGTGTTTTTTTTTTTTCTTGGTGGTAGTTCCATCACACGTATTTTATGCAGTCTTGACTACCTTCTAAGGAAAAAGATGAGCTTCAATTTAACCAAGTGTCAAAAATTCTTACACTTTAGTGAAAAAGTTAAAAAAATATTCATTGCCTTAATTGGTTTATTTAGATATAGTCCTTTCAGTTTCCTAAAGCCGTGGGCATCTTCTGTTTTTGGAGAAGAAAGTCTTAACTGTGGTTTTGTTGTCATACCATGATCCTTTAATCCACTGAACAGAAGTACAACAAAATGTAGACTCTGTTGATGTCTTGGCTTGTGTTTGCATTTAGAAGAGGATTACAACAGTTGGTTCTTCCCACAAAAGCTCTTTGACGTTTGCATCTGAGTGTCTGGAAATGTTTGTGCATTTTGCGAGTTTTATGTTTTCATGGTTCCAACTTGTATACAAATACTGCAGTAAAATGTGGAAAACTCAGTCTTGAGCATAATGCCTTAGTATTTAGAATGTGGTGTTTTTGAAATATTTGCAAATACCATCTGACTTTGTTGCACCTAAATTTCAAAGTACATTTTGTTTCACTGCTTGCCCACTCTTTGTTTTTACATGCAAGTGATAAAGTGGAAACAAGCATTGCTACTTCAGACAATATTTAAATTTTGCACTAACTACTTCAGAAGTTTTCTGTTAAAATAAATTGTGCCCTTACTTTTTCTTGCCCCACTTACCCTTCCTGCATCCCCATCAACTCCATAATTCAAACTTCTTACTGGCTGCAGTAGCTGTGTTGGCAGAAGCACTATTTTAAACTGCTGAAGTCGTCGCCTGAGTTAAGATGTTGCTGGGTTGCCTTTATCCACTGGGTTTCCCTGCTACTGTTGAGGCTCTTTAAAAATAAATAAATAAACATTAACTTTTTTTTTAATTAAATAAATTTAATGAACTTTCAAGGTAGCAGTATGCCCCAGAGCAGAATCTTTCAGTGCGTAACGGTTAGGAGGTTAAAGTAGTGGTACTGACAATGGAAACAGCATAGGTTATACCACATAAGTGTCTAAATTAACTTATTGTAACATGCCTAAATGTGCTTATTGTAATAGTTTTTGCTATTAACTAATATTTAGACATACAGGTTTACAGTTTGTGGTGATTTAGAATAGAATCGAGTAGGCTGGAAGTTCACTCGAGTTCAGTAGTCCAACCATGTTCTGTTCAAAACAGGTTGCTCAGGGGCTTGTCAGGTTCTGAATTCCTCAAAGGATGGCAATTCCACAGCCTCCTGGGCAGCCTGTGCTAATGTTTGACCATAAGCATTATTTTTTAAAATTTATTTTTAAATGCTTGTCTTACTAAGTTTAAATTTCCTGTGTTCTGACCCGTGTCTGTTGTTTCTCATTTTTCTACTGTGCACTGCTAGAGCTGAGTCTGTCTCCACCTTCTCTACACTCTCCCTTAGCTAGCTGAAAACGGTAATAATCAGATGAGAAGGAAGGGCCTTCTGGAATACTGGGAGAAAAGGAGAAATTTATTAGAAGTGCAGATAAGATGGGACAGTGCAGAAGTAATTTCAAAAGTGACTTTTTGTCTAATGGTTAGCTGGACCAGTGAAAAACCAGCAAGTGTTGTTCAGGAAGTTATTTTAATACAACAAGGAAAGAGAAAACTGAAAATACGAAACAATCTATAAAAACAAAGTCCTGAAAAAGTTAGTAAACTAGATACAGAGGTGTAGTGGTTTGTTGTAGTTCTTAATGAGCCCCTGTAGGACTTCTGTAATGTAGACAAGTACCTTTTTTTTCTTTTCCAAGGTAAATGCTCCAAGAAATGTAAATTAAGAATATTCATCTATGTGATAAGCAGTGACTGAAAAAGAGTATCTAATAGCCTCTTGTGCAGATCTAGAGAAATATAAAGCTGTTATTTTATGTTAACCTGCATATGTAGCATCAATAAGCTAAGAGAAAGTAAACAGCTGAAAGCGAGCGAGTCCTCGGATACGGTGTAAAGCACTCTAACTGCTCCATCCGGTAGGTATCTGTAGTATCAAATTGCTTGGGTAATTGCTCAATAATTTTCCAATTATTCTGCAAAGCAGCAGAGGTCCCTCCCTGTGAATGACACTGTCTAAAAAGCATACAGAATTGCCTGCTGTCCTAAACCAGGAATGCTTTTGTTGGTGGGGAAGTGGTTGCTTCACCTTGTGGTACATAACTGATTCCTTTTTTGTACCAGCATCTTTGACAGGCCTAGGAAAAGACTGAGGAAAAACAGGAGGTTTAATTGAGTTGTTACTGAGGTATTTGTGATTTTTTTTTTATCCTTCCAAATAATTTTCCCTGGTTCCTAACAACTTGTTTTTATTCCTACAAAATTTATTCTCCTTGACCTTGCTAAATACAGTCTTGCCTTGCTTTATCCATTCAGAACACAGCTGTCTGTGTTATCTGTCTGTGTCATTGATTGGACTTTTTTTTTTTTTTCTTTGCACATCTCCATGTGAAAAATAAGCTCCAGGTATTTGTTTAAAGGGTTCTTCCTGCCCTGCCATCCATTGTTCATCTGTTACCCATCTGGCAGTCTCCCTTACACAGGGGCTCATACTGCCAGTTTTTGTCATCTGCTTACTAAATTGTCAATAGGACATCTCTGTCATTTTTTTTTCCTAGGCCTGAATGAAACCCTCTTGATACACAGAGATACCTCATTTGCCTGTTTTAGGTCTCTCCTTAACTTTTTTTTTTTTTTTTTTTTCCCCTTATGATTCTACAATAAAGTTGTTAGGCTGCTTGTGTGTTAAGATCACTGCCTGGGATACTAAGCCTCAGTAGTGCTGACACCTTTGGTCATCATTCTCATTGTATACTGAAACTTGCACTTTCTTAGTTGTAAAGTTGTAAAGTTTCTAGGCAGTATGGTAATGTGAGTAATGAAAGGAACTCCATATCTGTGGAGTTTTAGTTGTCCTGAATATTTTATTCAGGAATTTGAGCAGCTATTCTTGGGTTTAGGGAGTATTTTGTTGTTTTGTGGTTTATGGGTGATTTTTTAATTTGTTTGGGTTGGTTGGGGTTTTTTTTTTACCCTGGTAGTGTAGAACAGGGCAGGAGAACCTAGATCACCTATTTGTCCAGTAGCTTAATGTGATCCTTCTAGCATTGCCTCTTCTGGTTGTGGGGTCTTTTTCTAGGTTGTTGTTTTTATTTTGTTGGGTTTTTGTACCCTTATTTAATGTAATCTTGCAAAATAATAAATTTTTTTTTTTTGTTGTATTACTTTTCCCACAGTTCTGAATAACAGCAGTAAAAATGATGGAAAGATTAGTCATTGGCTTAATAAGAGAAGTATTAGAAGTACAAATAATATTTTAATGCACCAATACACACACTCCCTTCCCCTTTGGAGGTTGTGTGTTTTTTTGATTTTTTTTTTTTTTTTTTTTGTTATTCACAAAGTGGTAACTATCTTCACAACCTAGAGGGTTAGAATAGGATATGAAAATATACTGTCTTCTGTTTTATCATCTAGCAAATACTTAACACTTTCTCTTTTTCCTATTTTCATTAAAAGATAGTAATTTGGCCTTCTTCCCAATCTTGGCAAGACTTAAAGGTGGTATAGAACAAAAAGAGCTTGGTGTGTTATATACTCAGTCTTCTGAGTGGATTTCCTTATTGTACTTCAAAACTACCTTGTGTTTTTTTTTACTACTCAAAAAGGGCAGGTTCTGCAAAGCCTTAATTATGACTTGTGCCCAGTCCCACAAACCTCTACATAAGGGAAGAAAATTTCCGGAAGAGCTTGATAAAGACACTTTGTTTCTGACCTATGGTTTCTAGTTAAAGTGAATATTCAGTACTTTCTATTTTGTGACAAAACCCTTTAAAAATGGCTGAAATGCTTTAATGCTTTAGTGAATAGTGCTGGGAGTTTTTTCACTTCCCTTTTCAGAAATCTATTTAAATAGATAAAACATGAGGATTTTGTGTGTCTGTGTTAGCACTACGATTTATTCAGCCTTATTTATTAAAACTTGAATCTCATTTATTCTCATTTATTCTCACATTTTGGAAAGTACGGGTTTTTGCAATGTATTTCACATTGTAAATAGTCTGTTATGCTTTTAAAAATATATGAGCTTACTCTTTTAATATTATTCTTTTTTTTTTTTCTTTTCCAGTTTCTCAAACAGTTAGGTATACATCCTGACTGGCAATTTGTAGATGTTTACGGTATGGAACCAGAACTGCTTAGCATGGTGCCAAGACCTGTCTGTGCAGTGCTACTTCTCTTTCCAGTAACAGAAAAGGTAAATGTTTATTTAATAATCAGCAAATCACTTTTCTTGTAAATGAAATGGGAATGAACAGTTTGAATCTTGTACTTTGGTGTCATAATAGAACCAAGATGAAACTCAAACCTTAATGAAGAGACTTCTTAGTTAAAAACAGCAACGAAATACCTTGTTCAAAACCTTCTTTTAATCACCTTACGTGTATATTTTCAATTTCTTTTCAAGTTGGAGTGGGAAAAGCTAATGTAGAAGCAGAGAAATACACTTCAGAGAATTTAAGGCTTTTTTTTAAAAATATGCACTGTGCAATGGCATAGGTCTGATACTTTTATCAGAAAGCTACAATAGCATAAGCAAAATAAGAGGTAGGGCGTAGAACTATAGCAAATGCAACTACTTTTTGAGTTTTCATACTGTTGCACTGACCAAACTTCAGTTCACTTGCAGTTCAGTCATCAGTACCAATATGGGTTTTGTGTCTTGGACAGGTGTGGCATATATCTAAGATGAAAGAGAATTGCCTCTCTTGTTCCTCTATTAGACCTTGAAATACTTGATGTGGTTAAATCTTCAAGTCTGCTTACTTTGTGTCATCAGATGCTTCTACATAGAGAAGATGTCCATCTTGCATCTCTCCCTCAAGTGTTATGTCTGTTGAAGTGTGTGATTCATATTGATCTTTCAATTTATAAGAATTTTATGTGATTGTAATAAGGTCAGCCAAAAATTTTGAGGTGACTCTGCCCAAACTTCTTCCTTTTAATGTGTCTCTCAAAAAGAACACTTGGTTTGTAAGGACAAAGCAGTTAGCTATTAAAGCTTTTCTTCTATAACAATACCTGATTAAATAGGGAGAAGAGTGACTAGGTCAGTCCTTTTACTCATTAGGTCCTGTAAACTTTTGCATTCTAAGTTTCTTCAAAACGTCTAGGCAGGTAGTCCTTTTTCAGGCTTGATTTCAGCCACCTTGATAATTTTGTATTTGGGAAAACTCTTAACTGTCCTCGCCTGTCTTCAGGAAATTTTCCTTTCTGTCTCTTTTGAGGCGTTGTTTTCCGTGTGCTGTGGTTTCTGGCTGGCTTCTTGAGCTACAGGTCTGAGCTCCTTCTGTGACTGCCACTTTTTTTTTTGTCTCCCTGCCTGTGCAAACTTCCTTTCTTGGATCATGCAATGGGAGCATTATCCCATGGGAAAGAACAGCCTTTCTCTTATTCCAGAAGGTGTATCTGATTTCATCCTGAGGAAGCATCTGACAAAGAGAACCAGAGAAATAGCATAGATCAATGCTCTGTTGCATTGATCAATCAAATTTGACCACCAGCCAAATATTTGCAATTTTTTTCCAGCATGTTAGTCTTTCAGAAACAAGGGACACCAAGTGTTTCTATGAACCGTTTAGCCTGTGTGCAGGCTGAATCTTTCATGTGAAGTCGTAATGTTCTGAAGCTTGTGTTGTTCAATGTGACCTCTGCAAGACTCTTGAGCATTATATTGTATTTCTGGAGTACTTTTCCCCTCCTCAGTCTCCTTTTCAATACTGCCTGTTACATTCTGCTTTTATTTAATTTATTACTTATGTTTCTTGGTTATGTCTATGTTTATGAAAATGTGCCTCTTAATTAGTTTTGTTGCCTTTGTAAGCACTTTTCTATAATGTTTTTTTTCTTCTGTATGGAAGTTCCTTTCTTCCGTGTTTCCTATATATCAATTTGCTTGAACTTGCTTTTAAAGCAAGATAACTCTTGTCAGTATACAGATAATCTTAGGGTTATTGTCCAGTTTAAAGGTCAATGACTTTCTTAGTCTGCATTGTAGGTCCTAGACAGATAATGTAACCAGTATCTATTTGTACTGTTTGTGAAATGTCTGTAACTTTCCTTCTAGTATGAAACTTTCAGAACAGAAGAAGAAGAGAGAATAAAAGCTAAGGGGCAAGATGTCAAATCATCGGTGTATTTCATGAAGCAGACCATTAACAATGCTTGTGGAACAATTGGGCTAATTCATGCTATTGCAAACAACAGAGATAAAATGAACTTTGGTAAGTTTGTTTAGTTGGAGTTTTTGTTGGCTTTTCCCTTGTTTTTCCTTAACTGTGGGGAGGCATGGAGGGAAGGACAGGTTTTGTACTGTTTTCTCTTGAATATAAGCATTCATGAAGGATGATCTCTATTCAAAGAGCATTTCTACCTATAATTATAAAAACATGTTTCGTACTAATCCATGAAGTAAAGCTCTTGAAACATTATGAACTGCAGCAGGTGGTAATTGCTCTTGCAGTCAGCCTTCATTGTCTTAAAAATATGATGTAATTCCATCTTTAAATCTTTTGTTGGATGTAAACATTCTGTAAACTTTGGATGATGCTGGAGTTAAAGCATGACACTAATTATGTCTTTTTTATTTTTTTAAGAAACTAATTCTTCACTGAAAAAGTTCCTAGAAGATTCATTATCTATGACTCCTGAAGAGAGGGCCAAATATCTAGAAACTTACGAAGTTAGTGTCATGCGTTTTTACTTTTATTTAAAATGGTATAAGAATTATTTGTGTGAGCAGGTACTGTCCTTAGAACTTGATCCAGTGAAGCACTTAAACAATTCGATTTTACTGTGAGCTTGTGATCAGACAGTTGCTACCAAAAAAAAAGTGCTTTGGTAGTTTAAAGTATTTCTGCCTGCCCATAGGTCTGTCAGCAGAATGGATTTTGTCAATGTTCCTCATCCATATTAATTCATTGGCTTAGTCTAAAATGACTTTGAAATGGATGAGAAATACATGCATAATCTTTTTGGTGGGTTCAGGATCTAGTTTAATGGTCAATTTAATCTGATCTGGGACTATTGCTGAAAGGATGGTCCTTCTGCTGCCTCCTTTCATTTGTGCCTTCTAGTCATCTCTTTGGCTTTAGAGCTTCAGAGCACACAAAGAGCTGATTTGGCTGAAATATAATGCCCTTCCCCCACTACCCCAAACAATTAAATTATGAGCCAGCTGATAGTGTGGCTAGACAGATTTTTACTGTTGTTTGAAAGGACGCGGAAGAAACATCTGGCCAGTGTTGGAAGGGGAGAATGGTGCTGTTGCTCCTGATGGTAATTATGATCCTTTCTCAAAGTGAGAATCTTGATGATTTTCAAGTCTGAGTTCAATTTAAGCTTACTGTGAAGCCCTCAGGAATAAGGATGTTAATGTATGGCTGAGGGAAGTAGTAAACAGAAACAGTAGAGATTCAATGACAGTTTTTGTAAAAATATTGGATGCAAGATGTCTGATCAGAGCTTCTATCTAAAGTATTTTGTCTGGTCAAGAAGTGATATATTAAAAAAAACCACTTGCCCATAATGTTTTTGGTGTGTAAAAGTGCCATTACAAACTGTTAGGTATTTGCTTTGAATTGACTGTGATGAAACTGAAATATGGGTCTCCCGAGATCCTTGTAAGTGGAGATTATCTGTTTATTAATTTTTTACTACTTTATTACAAGCACTGAACAAAAATAGTTACATCTGTGGCATTTGATAAAATGAAGAGCATACAGTGATTCTTAAAATGCTGAAAGTCTCTCATTTAAAGTCTGATTGAAATATGTTTTAATTTTAGGCTATTCGTGTCACTCATGAATCCAGTGCCCATGAAGGTCAGACTGAGGTATTAATTTTTTAAAAAAACTTTCATTAGTAGCTACTTTGAGTTGAATAGAAATGAAAACAATCATACATTAAAGGTTTACTTTGAAATGGAGATTATTGCTTGGTTTGCAGTATTGTGTCATGAGTCAGAAATCAGGGCACAACATCAAGTGACATTGTTGGGGGGGAAACCAAACGATGCTTGTTTGGTGTGTTTTTTAAGCTTTTATATAATATGGATGACCTTTTCAAGCTTCATGTCAGAGTAAAACAGCTGGTAATAGTCTTTTTAGTGAAAGTTGATGTTTTGATATTACAGACTTGTAGCTGAGACTGTACTTCAGGAAAAGAGTGCAATACCTGGTTTGCCGTTATGTATGTGCTGTTTGTATACAAATACTAATTCAGGTAAATTATCACTAAGACATATATTTGTAAGTTTTTATCCCCCAACAGATTGGATGATATGTCAAAACCGAAACAAAAACACACAAAGAACCAACCCCAAACCACCAAAAAACTTTAAAATATACATCAACTTAATATTCAATATTTTTCAGCTTCAGTCATACTAATGCAGTTTTCCATCTTTGCAGTTCAGATTTCAGTATCTGTTCCACAAAAAGAAATTTGATTAGATTGTTGCTAGCACTGCTTTGTTAGTCAAAGAGAGGAACTCTCCTTTGTTTGTCTGTGACTTCAGTGGCTTGTCGACTTTCCTTTTTTGGAGTACAGTAGGTGAGGTTTGTTTTTTCTTATGGCTTGTGCCATAGTGTCTTCTAAACAATGCAGGAGAAAGTAAAACAGTCCTTTGTTCTCCTCTTTGCCCCATCATCTGGAAATTAAAATTAAGAGAATTGTTTTAACCATTTCTATTGTTGATACTCAACCTCCTTTGTGATATTTTCTATTAAAAAAAGCCCCATCCCTCTTTTTATCTCTTTCTCTAAATCAATCAAGGTTCTGTGTTTCAAGAAGAAACATCAGAATAAATTCTTGCTTCTCTTCCTTGTCTAAGTGAGAGACTCTAAAAAAATCTGGTCTGTTTTCTTTACAAGTGAGTCCTTTTCTAGATATTCTTGTCAAGCTCAGTAAGAGAGAGGGTATGGGGATTATTCCTCCAAGTTGCTGAATCTTTTCCTAAGATCCTTGTGAAAGAGAAGAACTTCTTTAGTTGTTTTGATCTACGGTAACATTCACCCAGGGAAAAGTTTGTCTATGCGTTCTTCTGGCAGAAATTTTGGAATGATTGGGAAAGAAAATGCAAAGGCTATGTAGTTCCTGGGAGTCTTTGTAAAGATACAGGAAGCATCTAAATGACGATGGAATCTCTTAATAAGGGATGATTAACTTCCTGAACTTCCACAAATTAATTTGTTTCCTGATCAAGATAACCACAATACAGTTAATTGTGTGGAAAGATGAAGACTTTTTTTCATAATAAAAATTTACAAGATTGTCTTAGCAACCATGTCTAAACAGAAATATTGAATAGGTAATTTCCTTGCCAAATATTTATTATTCCATTTTGCATAATGAAATATGGAAGTAATTCAATATGGATATTCCTTAACCTGGTAAAATAACTTTTTTCTGTGTTTCTGTTTCCAAAGTTGAAATAATACAATGGATGAATACATGTTCTAGGACCATTCTTCAGAATAGTTCTGATCCATCAACCAAGAAGGGAAGAAATAAACAAGTTATCTTACTGGAACATCTAATTGCCTGAAGATCTGTCCTGCCATAGTGTAGTTAAACTTGGCAGCAAGGCCTCCCCTTTCATCTGTACAGGAGGAATTGCTTTACTTTAAAGTAAAATTCTTTTTAAGCAAAACAAAATCTGAAACGTGAATATGCTGAGAAGTGTAACCGAGTGTTGGAGTGAGTTAATCTCATAGTCTTTCTCCTTCCAATGGTACATTTTAAATGTTACTGTATACCTCTTCATGTGGTGGTGAAGGGACTGAAGAATAGAATCCCTGTGAAGAATATGCATGCTGAAGTTGGCATATGCAGGCCATACAAGGATGTTGAATTGTCCTGCAGGGTAAACTGATAATTTCTGTCACCTTTGGAGAAAGAGAGAAGAGAATCCCATTCTTCCTGCGTATCCATTATTGTTATGATTACTTTCCTGAGAATTTAAACTTCCTTTCAGAGCACTGGAAAGGAATGTTTTTGCCTTCCTGTGACTCTGTTGGGTTTCTGTTCTCCACCTGCCTCCCCTCCCCCCACCCTGAATAGCTAGGGCATTTTGTGTAGAAATCTTTCCTTTGAATAAAGTGGTTTATAGAGTTGCTTAATTATAGTAAGTGTTGTAGTTTTGTGAGCAAAAAGTCCTTTCCAGGTCTCCTACAGAATTAAAGATTAAGAAAACGTGCAGGCCGACCCTTTTAGGATTATTAACTTGGTTTGCATGCCTCCTAAGAACAGCCTGCTCTGTGGGTCTGTCCCTTAGTCAGGTATTGCATGCTAGTATCCACTTGAATTCTTCTGAAAATGTTGCTTAAGCTCAGCTGTTAGAATAACTTCTGAAAGTAGGATGTACGGCAGTCAGCTTTGCTGATTTGGTTAAGCTTTGCAACTGCTTTCAAGATTCTGTTCTTTCCTTCCCCCATGTAAAACACACCATCACACCACTGAGATAAAAGTAAATTTTTCTGTAATCTTGAGATGTAGAAGGTTTAAAAATAGTAAAGAATACAGACAGGTTATCTTCTGATAGTACTTTATTTGTTTTTCCCTGGGCTCTGATTTCTCAGATATTTGAGGATTCAGCCTTTAATGCTTTTAAGTAAAGCCTTTATTTGTTGATTGCTCCTGACAGTCTTGCTAAGTCTTCACAAGCCTTTTTATCATCTCAGTGGCTACTTGATTTTTACAATATGCTTGTGGACTTCCTGCTTTTGTTTCTGTTCCATGTATTTCAAACCTTGAAATAAAGCAAGTCTATCTAGAAATAAAATGTTAGAAGTAGTAAAGCAATGCTGTCTTTCTAGTACCTGTGTATTCCATCTGTTCATCTTCTCTTGTGGGTAGGATTTGTTTCTGTTTTAGGGTAATGTGTAATCAGATTATTTTTTTAATTATGTTTTGAGGAAGAGTCCTATTTGGGGAAAAAAAAGTAGTTGACAAGACATTATTTGTATAACTGGAACATTAGTGAACTGCTAGGTTCTACATTCCAGTTAGTGATTGCTGGAAGAGTTATGGTGATCACTTTGCTTCTGGGATTTATCATTAATGTGTGATCTATTTAAATGAAGCATTAAGATGAATAGCTAAGCAAATGGATTGAAGCTGAGAGCTATGGAGTGTTCTGCCTTAATGGGTTTTATAGCTGTAATTAATTTGTCTGGTTAAAAAAAAAAGAAGGCTGTGTTCTCAGCCATTTTATGTAACTTTTGGTATTGCATTTAAAACTTTTACAGATCATCTATAGACTGGATTAGAACCAAGTATTTTGGGGAGGTTTTTTGTATTGAAATATGTGAGGTTTTTAATAAAGTTTATTGAATTTTTATTAAACAACTTAAATATTTGCTTAAAAAGAGAAGTGCTTGTGTTCTTTCAAAAAGATTGAATATTAAGAACACTTAAGCAGTTTTCATTTTACTGATTCATTTCAGGTTTGTGAAATAAAAGGATTGTAAATCTGTGTTTATCCTTCAGGCCAGGTTTTGGACCAGGTTTAATTCAAGTTCTGTGTTCAGACTCCTGGATTCTGTGCCTCCATGGCTTACTTTTTTGCTACAGTAAAGCAAATAAATAGATAAAGCAGTCCTATGGGTACTTCTATGTGTAAAAAAAAATGCATGTCTGTTTAAAATTACTTCAGTAGCAAACAGTAAGATCTGGGAATAATTCCACAGGAGAAGTGTGCTGTTTGTTTCAGGGTTTTCAAGGGTGGTTTGATTCTGGTCCCATGTTCCAGTACCATAATGAGGGTAATTAATGTAAGACTCTTGTAACAGTCTTTCTGTTAAACTTTATGCTATGGAAGCTTACACTTTCTCAAGTGACAGTGATTTCATATCCAAAGCTGCCAAAAAAAAGGATCTAGGTCTTTACAATACAGCCTCATGAATCCAGCTCACACTCCTTTCTGTGTGATAGTACCTCCTAAAAGGCAGCATTGCTGAAACTAGAATAGGTGCAGGCTACTCAAGATCTTCTTTATTCTTTCATGAGTCTTCTGCTGAGCCTATACTTGTGGTTATAATACCTAGGTTGTCTGAAGATGAGGAAAGTATAATCTGCTTTTTTGCAGAACTGTACACATTTTTAAGCTTGTCCTTATATTGCTGCTTCATACTGAGTAGTGTTTGAGTTTTTCTGCTTGGTTTTTTTGCATATTTTTCCTTTCTTTTTGTTATTCCTGTGCCTCCTTCAGCAGTTCATGAACTGCTGAAAGCCACATCTTAACATTTCTGATACTCTCTTATTAAAAAAAACTCCCCCAAAACCAAGAAAAGAACCCAAACCCCACAACCCTTCAAAAATATTAAAAAGACAATACAGTTTGTGAGTGCTAGAGCATCAGCATTAGCTGTCTATTCTACAGTGATCATCAATGAAGAAGTTAGGGCAAAATCTGAGGGAGGAAAAGTAGCAATTAATAGCACTGGTCAGGGTGAGCTTCATATCAAACTTTTGTTGTATTACTATCTTGGATTGCTTTCTTTCAAAACAATCATGGTATTTATTTGCAAGTAACAGATCAGAAAATCTGAAGGGAGAGTTTTTTGAAAACAGGAAAACATGTCATTACCTGCGAGAGACTTCCAGGTCTCAAGTCTTCTGCAGAGCAAATAGCCCTTTTGAATTTGGAGTTGAGGAAGAAACGTATTTTGTATCCTACCTAGTAATTTTCATTAATAATAGAAAGTTAATGTATAGTTTTCTGAGAGAGTAGGGAAGGAGGAAAATGGGAAGGCACACTTGTTATAGATATAAACCAGTAGAAATTGTTTAACTCGGTTAAACAATGATATGCTGTGATAGCTTGAGGGAAGT